GAAGGTATTTTCTTATGTCCAAGACAATTTTAAAAGGACACTATAGTCACCAAAACAACGTTAGCTTAATGAAGCAGTTTTGGGGTATAGATCATGCCTCTGCAGTCTCACTGCTCAATTCTCTGCCATTTAGGACTTAAATCACTTTGTTTATGCAGTCCTAGTCACACCTCCCTGCATGTGACTTACACAGCCTTCCTAAACACTTCCTGTGAAGAGAGATCTAATGTATATACTTCCATTATTGCAAATTCTGTTTAATTTAGAATTTTTTATCTCCTGCTCTGTTAATAGCTTGCTAGACCCTGCAGGAGCCTCCTGTTTGTGATCAAAGTTCAATTTACAGAGCACGAGCTAAAAACGTCTAAAGTTACATCTGATTGAAAATGAAACCATTTTGTTTTCATGCAGACTGTGTCAGTCACAGTCAGGGGAGGTGTGGCTAAGGCTGAATAACAGAAACAAAAGCAATTTAACTACTAAATGGCAGAGAATTGAGCAGTGAAACTTCAAAAGCATGATCTATACACCAAAACTGCTTAATTAAGCTAAAGTTGTTTTGGTGACTAAAGGGTCCCCTAACCCTTTAGTGGCAAGACCGTTTTTCAATTTTCTTACCGTTAAGGACCAGGGCTCTTTTTACATTTTTGCTGTGTTTGTGTTTAGCTGTAATTTTCCTTTTACTCATTTACTGTACCCACACATATTATATACAGTACTTTTCGCAATTAAATGGTCTTTCTAAAAATACCATTATTTTCATCATATCATATAATTTACTATAAAAAAAAAAGATAAAATATATATTTTTAAAAACACCTTTTCTAACTTTGACCCCCAAAATCGGTTACGCATCTGCAACCACCGGAAAACATCCATGCTAAATAGTTTCAAAATTTTGTCCTGAGTTTAGAAATACTCAATGTTAACATGTTCTTAGCTTTTTTTGCAAGTTATAGGGCTATAAGTATAAGTAGCACTTTGCTGTTTCACAATATATATTTTTAAAATTTATCAATAGTGACATTGTAACACTGTTATCTGTCATACAATCTCTGAATCACACCTCACATGTACATATTTTTTTAAAGTAGACAACCCAGGATATTCAATATGGGGTATGTCCAATCTTTTTTAGTAGCCACTTAGTCACAAACACTGTCCAAAGTTAGCATTTATATTTGTTTGTGTGTTAAAAATGCAAAAAACTATTATAATTCTGGCTTCTTTTGCAAATGGTATGCCATCATGGGGTTAATTCTCATTCCTGGGCTACCATACGCTCTCAAAGGAAACATAACCAATCTGTCAAATTTCAATGTGAAAACAGAAAATCAAAAACACTATAAAACCTGTACATGTGGGGCACTGTTATACTCGGGAGACTTCACTGAACACAAATATTAGTGTTTCAAACCAGTGAAACGTATCACAACAATTATATCATCAGTGAAAGTGCCGTTTGTGTGTGAAAAATAAAAAAAATTTCACTTTCACTGATGATATCATCGCTGTGGTATGTTTTACTATTTTGAAACACTAATATATGAATTGAGCGAAGTCTCCTGAGTAAAACAGTACCCCCCATGTACAGGTTTTAGGGTGTCATGGATAGTTACAGGGTTAAATATAGTGCTAGCAAATTAAATTCTCTGGACTTTCGGCCTGGGTTGTCATGCGGGTCCCTCAAATTGCAATCAATAAAATCACTTAATTATGTAAAAATATTACATAAATATGCACGTAAAATTTAAATATATATACATATTTATATATTAGAAGTCTACGTGTATATTTATGAAATTATTTATGTAATTATGTATATGGATATATATATATATTTCGTATTATTTTTTATTTATTTGTAGATATATATATATTTTTATTTATTAAAAAATTTTTTAATTTAAACAGAAGCAGGGCGACTTCCTGTCAGTTTAGGCAGTCCCCCTACAGGCAGCACTATGGACGCCTATTGTGGCCATGTGATCGCTCTTTCAAACACAAGGCCCGTGGGGGCCTAATTTGCCGAGTGGGCACTGCCTGGGCTGTCAGGCAGTCCCACCAGACCGGGAGCAACACCGATTGCTGGCGGGGGAACGGTGGCGTTCCGGTAAGTACTAAGGAAGGCTCATGTTTGCCGCGGACGAACTAGGTAAGGGACGTTTTTTGTTGGACTACCTTGTACGTCTGCGGTCCTTAAGGGGTTAAATATATCATGTCCTTGTATCTTTTCCATATGTAACAGAACAAAATGGCCAGGAAATAAGTTTAAAATATTATAGCTGAGATTTATTTTTTTCATACAACTTATTATGTATTAAACTTTAAAATTTACTTTGAATAACTTCGAATGTGTTAACTTCTGCCATGACAGCTGGAAGGATAAAATTCTGCTGAACAGAATTCAGGTGCTTTCCAGCCCAATTTGGAGGATCTATTTTGGAGACATTAACATTTAAACATTGCCAGGGAAATCTCCTAAATATCATTAAGCCCATCTTCTTTGCTCCCTCAACAAATAAAATGCAATAGTCTCTGGCTTTGTAAATCTATCAGATTCTCCTTAAATGTCTGAAATGTCTAATGTATTTTCTGGAGAATTTAATTCAATAAGCAAATGTGGATTTTCCTCCAAAGAAATTAACTTGGAGATGCATTCCTTACATGTTGCGTCTCCTCTCCCATTAAGCTATTCTAACACACTATAAATATTCCCCAAATTCTTGGGTACTCACTGTCTCATTAAAGATGACAAGACTTCACAAAAATGTCCTCATCACATCTCAATGTATTAACATCTAGAGCCCCTGTCTCTACACAATCCAAGCACCTGCCAGCATTACAAGCTTCCTTTCCTGAAAAAAGGATTCAGAAAAAAGCTTTAAAAAAGCCTAATTAACGAAAATAAAGATTTTAGAATTAAAAATACCGAAGACTAGGGTAAGAGCATGAATGGGGTATATTACAATAATATTTAATTAATTCCAGTTAACATGAAACCAAACATGAAGATGGGGATCTGTGGTAGACTATGAGGTTTAATAAACTGGAAACCTCTCTGCCGGGGATGACGGGAGTCCGTGAAGATGAGGAGGCTTTCGGCGATGAGTAACATAGGCCTCTATTTAATGTTGTGGATAAATTTTTCAAATGATAAAATATTTTTGCATAAACTTTTACATTTTGTTTCAAAATATTAAAATATAACAAAAAATATATAAAAAAATATCAATATATATAAAAATACAACCAAATATTACAAAATTTAATTATTTTAAATTTAATTGATATAAATATTTTTAGACATATTAAATTATTTTAAAGGTTTATCCAAAACTACAAAATCCAGGCCATAGCTCTTTATTTAAAGGGACACTCCAGGCACCCAGATCACATCTGCCCATTGGAGTGGTCTGGGTGCCATCTCCCACTACTCTTAACCCAGCAAGTGTAATTATTGCAGTTTTTTTATAAACTGCAATAATTACCTTGTAGGGTTAACTCCAACTGTGTGAGGACCTCCAGCGTCGCTCATTTCCCCATAGGAAAGCATTGAAAAGCATTTTCAATGCTTTCCTATGGGGAGCTCTAATGCCCATTAGGTCTCCCCGGCCGGTGGGCGGGATCAATCTCGTCCACCGGCCGTCATAATCACTGGGGAGCTGGGACATGTCGCTGCCTCTGGTAAGTAACTGAAGGGGTTTTCACCCCTTCAGCAACCGGGGATTGGGGGGTGGGAGGGAGAGGGGACCCGCAGTGCCAGGAAAACGGATTGTTTTCCTGGCACTGGAGTTTCCCTTTAATGAATATATAGATACTTGTTAATTTTTTTCCTGCCCATTAGTGTGAAGGGTTAATGGACTAAGTTTATTAGCTCCTGTCTAACATTAACTTGTTCCTCTATGAACGGAATCTTTCTGGCGGGCTGCCGTATAAACAAGCCCCAGTATATAATCAGCGTAACTTTAAACACCTCCTTTCAAAAAGGCATTGGAAGTCATCCATTAACACCCATTATTTTCACTAGACAATGGATTTTGGGCAATTTAACAGCGTTCACTCCTGCTGAAAACAAGATCAAATTCAGGCTCGTTTGGAGCCTGGTTTACAAAATTCAGACATTATTAAATAGCATAAACATTGTCAAGATTTTAGATTCCAATTGGCAGATGGTTTGCCCCATTCGCACCTTAGTGGATAATCCTGTTTATATAATGATTCCATTAACCTAGTGGCTCAAGTAATATTTTTTTTTGTTGAAAATTTGTTTATTTATTTATTTGTAGGTTCAGCATATGGAAAGTAGTAAGACTCGCAGGTCTAGTCATGTGTGTAATAAATGCATGACATAAGTAAGGAAAACTGGTGATCCATGAGAAAAATATACATCTTGCAGGGCCATTGGCCGGCTTGTTTACGGGAAAGTGGACACGCAGGTCCGCATTGACTTTCTGAAACATGGATCTAGTTAATTTCACGCCACAGAAGGGAACATATATGCTTAATTCTTTTATAACATTGAAAAACTCCAGTTATCAATCATAAGTGGGAGCTTGACATAACATTCAGTGCTCGGGGTCTAGGATTTCCCCGTGACTGTTACCTATGGCAGAGCTTGTGTGGTGTTCGGGAATCCCTGCACCCAACTGTGGTGCCAGGTTCCCTGTATCCGGTCATTGTGTGGTAAGTGTCGAAGTTCTATTTAGCACGAGTGTTACTCTTGTGCGCGAAAAAGACGAGTTATGTGTCTATCTAACTGCCCGATGTTCATCATGTTTGCTATATTCCCGTCTAAGCGCCGGGTATCCAAACCACAGAGTGTCCTGGATCTCCCCACCTTGTTTAAATGTCCGTGTGTTAGTCAGTATCCCTCTGTAAATGCACATTTGTTCATCCCTATTACCCTTCTGGTATATTGTGTGATTTGTCTGTCTTGTAATCAATCCATCCGGCCTCGATCCCAGTCTCCCCGGGCCCTGGTATGCAAATAGAAGTGGTAAGGAAGAGGTTAGAAGCGGAAGGTAGTGGTGGTCAAGCTACTTGGGGTGTGATGTCCCCGGCACGTCTCCATCCCTACGGTAACGGGAAATGTATAAGAACCATGGCGTCCACATCTCCGCGTGCCTGGTTCCTCGTCCTGTCAAAGTAGCGTGTGCTTCTTCTGCTCCTTGGATCTCTTCTACTCTACGGATCCACTCTTTTTTGGTAGGAATTTCACTTTTTTTCCAGTGGGCTGGAATGTTGGCCTTGGCGGCATTAAGCAGGTGTCGTAATATCGATTTCTTGTATGACGATATGGATTGTGTCGAGACGTGTAGCAATGCCAATTCCGCATTCCATTCCAGTAAGTCTCCCAGGATAAGCACAACTGTTTCCTTAATCATTTCCCAGTATGGGGTGATAGCTCTGCACTCCCACCAGATGGGTAGCACTGTGCCGCGTGTTTCCTGGCACCTCCAGCACACCAGGGGAATTGAAGGGAATATGTGGTGCAGTAAAGTTGGTGTTCTATACCATAACGAGATCAGTTTGTAGTTCATTTCCTGGTAGTATGAGCTCATAGAGCTCTTATGCTGACAAAGCAACGCCGTATCCCATTGCTGTGTTGTGAGTGATATTCCAAGTTGTTCTTCCCATTGCCGTTTGAACGTTGTAGCCTTAGGCGTACCTCCGATTAGTAGATGTTGATATAGTGCCGAGATTGTGTGTTCTATTGTGGTGCCTCGGTCGCAGAGGTCTTCAAACCACGTAAGGTCCCTGTGCAATCGATCTTTGTGCGGTTGTGAATCGTAAAAATGTTTCAGTTGTAGATATCTAAATTGGACGAGAGGGGTCCGCGGTCTGTCACCCAACATTGAAGGAAGGTCCTGCAGTCTCCCATCTTAGAGGGCCTTATGTATGGGTATGTATGCTCCAGTGCCCTGGATGGGCAATGCTCCAGGAGGGAGTTCCACCCCTATGGCTGAATTATGCGTGATCGGTATCATTGGGCTGGGTATGTGGGATACGTGGTCTTGTGTTCTCAGCGTTTTCCAACCATGTAGGGTCTGTAGGATCAGTCCTTCATCAACAGGATGAGTTGGCGATCCTCCAGGGCCTCCCCAGATCTTCGCCTCCATCGTTGGCCCGATGAGACCCCTGTCGAGCTCCACCCATTGTTTAGTCTTCTGTGCTAAGTGCTAATTCAGTATACGTTGCATGATCGTGGCCTGGTGGTATTTCCTAAAATCTGGTAGCGCTAGCCCCCCGTAAATTCTAGGTCGGCAGATGATGTCATGTCGAATCCTAGATCATCCTCCTCGCCAGATAAATTTAATCACCGCCGTTTTTAGGACGGAGAAGAAAGCCAACGGTATTGCGAGAGGTATAGTCTGCATGAGATATAGGATCCTCGGGAGAATATTCATTTTAATCACCGCAATCCTCCCGTGCCATGTTACATGTGGGTATGACCATCTGGACAGGTCCGCGAGTATGTTCTTTAGTAAGGGCATAAAATTATGTTGATATGTGCCCCCCGGGGTTGTGGTCACCCAGATGCCCAGGTATTTAATCTTGTCGCGGCACCAGTGGAACGCGAATTCCGATTCCAAAGACCGGAACTCCTCTGTGGGGAGTGTTAAATTCAGGACCTCACATTTCGAGACGTTAAACTTAAATCCAGATATCTGGCCGAATCTGTCGAATTCGGAGAGGAGACACGGTATTGCGATCCTGGGGTTGAGGACAAAGAAAAGGAGATCATCTGCGTACGCAGCCACTTTATGTTGTACTCCCTGCCAGTCATGTCCCTGTAAGTCCGGATTTTGGCGGATTGCCTGTAGCAGTGGCTCCAAGGTCAGCGCAAACAGCAATGGTGAGAGTGGGCATCCCTGTCGGGTCCCATTGTTGATCGCGAAGTCCGCGGTCGTGGCCCCATTAATCCTCACAGATGCGCGTGGTTTGCTATAAATGGCAGATATCCATGTAAGGAGTCTCTGACCGCAGCCTAGCCATCTCAGTGTCGCCAGCATGTATGTCCAGTTGACCCGGTCAAATGCTTTTTCTGCATCAGTGGATAGCAGGAGCAACCGGGTCCCCAATTTCCTCCCGTGGTGCACAAGTAATTTTGACTCAACTCTAAATGTACATACAGTGAAACAAGTAATATTTGACTCAACTCTAAGTGCTTGTTGGAGATTTAAAAGCAAGCAAAGGTGACACATATTGTAAGAACTGATAGTACAGTTATCAATGTACAGTGAAAAAGGGTTAAACCCAGGACTGCTTTTGCAACATACCCCACTAGACATTGCCCACAACAAAATCACCAGAAACGTAACTTTTGTGTGGATAGGGCAACAGCCACAGCTTTATGGACTAACATGCCAGCAATCTGTTTTAACAACCTGTCAGCTATTGAGGTATTTACTCAACAAACAGTTTCATCATCTTTTTTCCAGTGAGTTCCAAGCATCCTGCACTCCCCATCACCCTTCTGCAGACTGCAGTCTACCCAAGCCAACTCGGCTACTCACTCTATAATTCAACTGCGCTGGCCAGGAACACCACCATCGCGATGCCTCCCATAGCGAACATCATGCATTGCGCTCCCCAGAGCAGCTTCAATTTCCACTTGTAGCTTCAACATAAATATGTCCAACCCAATCGGATTAAGGAGCCCCCAATGATGTCTCATAACATCTGCATTATCTTCATTTAAATCCACATGATGGACACCAAGGCCCACATGCACCGCAAATACCATGATATGGACATATTCAACTTATGATGACATCTTTCTAAGGCTTTTCCACTCTCCAATGCATGGCACACATGACAGGGATGAACATGGAACATATTAGAGTCAGCTCATTAAATAATGCATAGAAATTATCCATATCATGTATCAAAACATTAATCAAGTTGATTGTCCTCCGATGACTGACATTGTTCCACCTTCATGCTGTACCAGGGTCACTTGGCCAGACACACAGAATTAGGTGTTTGCACTCAAGATACACCTCAACCCAGTATAAGCCCCGTAACCCCCTCACCATGTCAACAGAGAACCCCAGGTTACGACCGTAGGCTCTGTTTTCAATATGTCTTGAGGCACACTATTGTAGGAATGGCCCAAAATCTAGACATAACAAGGATCTGAAGCTATAAAAAACAAGAATATCAGGGAAGGGGGAAACAGAAAGTGGAATAGACCCCCTACAACAAATGTGGACAGATAGCTGAAAACTTTATGACTCCCAACTATCTTAATGCTTCAGGGCCTTAGCAGGAAGCCCTATCAAACTCAACTGCGCTGCTGTCCAAATTCAGAAACAGTGTGAGGAATAGTGACCCGGATTCCTCCTCACCAAGAGCAGGTCTGAAGCACCCTGGAGAACTGAAAAAAACTTAAGGAACTACTGTTATCGTGGACTGAAAAGGAACCATGTAAGACTCCCAGAGATGCTAAAAAGTCTTACACCACACCCACCAGACAATATTTACCACCCGTGAATCCTATCTGAACTCTGCACCCACCCCTGATTGATTCATGACATGTTCAAACCCCAGAGAGGACGTCAATGTGTCCAAATGCAATAATGCTGCTGGACACTTCAGATTAGAAGCCACCAATTCACCAATGCGCAGGTTTTTTTAAAAAAAAGTCAACAACCACTGCATAAAATAGCTTCACCTCACAGGTGACACCTGTGGCAACATCTCCAACAACTGAATTAGCAGGTCATAAGTGATTGGACGGCGTTTGTCTGGACATTATTTTTCTTTCTCCACCCTTTCACAATCCACGTAATACAAAACTCCTTGTTGCATCCTTCCAACCCCCCCAAAAAAAATGGAACAAAAAGGAAGGAGCTGCCAGACATCACTCGGCAGCCACTGCAGATTTACCCACGTAGCATAACAAAGATTAGGGTAAAAGAGAGTCACTAACCTGCCCGACTAGTAACTCCCCCTTCATCTGGCTTCAAACTCCCTTATAACTTTGAAACATTGTATCCTCCAAATCTCAGCCCACTATCCATGGGCATCTGTTATGCTCCCTCTTCCACAGGTGTCCAGGGAAATCCTTATTTATCAACACTGTATTAGTTTTCTAAATGTTTTAAAACGTGTAAAGCAATGCTTCCCCATGCCCCTAACAAGTTTGTCGGGACCAGCATAGGTAATCGGACATGAAACCTATAACTGACGTACGGAGAATTAATTAATGAAGAAAAAAAAATCTACTAAATAATTCCATTCCATTATATTAAGAAATGTTAATAACGCGCGCTGGTTCAGAGATTTAAGATGCCATGCGTCATTTTAAGGAACACGAAGCCATTATTAATTTACAGACGTCACTGTGGTTGAGATAATAATAGGACGAACATTGTTTTATCTTTGAGACGATTCCGTCCCGTGGATCGGCTGCTCTTCCTGCAGACTCACTCTTCCGGAACGGTGTATTGCGCTCGCCATTCCAGTATCCAATATATTTATTTCATAGCTGGCAGGTTATTGTCTAAACTGTCAGGGGAAAGTGTGATTAGCCAAGCGGGGACCGTCAGGAGCTTGGTTTTATGTTGGTGTCGAAGCCTGGTGACGCCACTAACGTCACTTATCTTAATTAAGCAATTATACTTTCTGGGCACATAGGGCAGCATCATATCGGCTATAAAAGAGCATGGCATCTGCTAGCTGAGAGCCCGGGAGTAGAGCAGCGACACACTGAGATGGTTGCACATAGTATGGAACAGACATCAATTAAGGCTGTCACTGAAATGGTTATCCAAAGAGGGGAACACATAAAGCATAAAATATGGTCCCTCCCAATGGATATGTGATACTCCGACAGGTATACTCACATCTGTACTTTCATGCAAAGATTTTTTAATAGATCATGCGTTAACCTGGAGTGATTAAAAAGGTATTTTATTTGTATTTTTTTTTTTAAATGTTATATTCTTTATTTTTGTTGGGCAGACAGCAGAGCCACAGCCGCAGTAAGCGAGCACTTTAGGGTACACGAGGAGACAATTGCATGTTGAGAAAATAGCACAGTTTTACATTATAATAGCAACAGACTAGGCACCCATGTCTAAACTTAGGCTTATACTAAGCTGTCCTTCATAGCAAGTAGTCAAGACATGGAGACTGCTAGGAAAACTAACAGTGCATTAAAACTTGCTAAACAAACTAAAGAAGTATATGACAACAACCTTTGGGTTATTGAAAAAGAGAAACCACATTGAGTCCAATATCTCAACCACATTGAGTCCAATAGCTGAATGCAAGAGAATCTCAAAAAGTAGGCAGTAGGACTTAAGCCAGGATTCACCAACTCCCTTCTCTAGTAGGCGCAGGTCCAGAGAGGGGAAGCAAGACCCAAGCCACCATTGAGTTGTTGGGTATGTGGGAGATCGGCCGTGTCTCCTACCTGGGATCAAGAAGTAGGTCATTAAAAGCCATTGTCCCTGTGAGATATACTCAAATTTCCAGTTGTTTGAGTTTAGCAGTGACCCATGCACTCTCAGCTTGATGGGTGTCGATGGCAGCAAGATTTGAAATTCACCCATTTTTAGGCTAATATTTACCAGAGTTGAGAAGCTTTCTCAACTCAGGTCCTGTTCCTTCGGAGGCCAGGCACCTACCCCAAAGGCATTTTATTTTATGCATTCAGTTTTATAGGACGGTCCAGTCGGAAACGAACCTGCCGAAGAATGGCGAGTTATAGAGCAAAGTGGAAATTCGCTATTGGTTTCAATATTGGAATCTGAGAGAGATTTACTGTGGGGTATCGCCAAGAGAGCCATATCTCTAGGGTGGGTACATAGTCAGATGATGATACAAAGCAGAGAGGGCAGGGAAAACCAGAATTATTACCAAATCCATATGAAGACCCAGGAAGGGCCAACATAAAAGGACAAGTGGAATAGAACTGTGAATAACTAGCCCAGGGTGAACTTCCCACAGCCCCTGCCACAAAACATTGGGTCCAAGAAAGAGCAGATCAATTGAATAGGGAGATCAATTTAATAAAAAGGGTAAGATTGAACTGACGAAAATCAGAACTGTGCCTTTGTGCAGCTTTCAGGAGTGTAGTGAGTTCAATTAACCAGTATAGAACGGCGGTGAATTCTGGACTCCTGACACCATCTCAGCATGATCCAATTCCAAACGCGGACATGGTTGTGGATAGGAAGCTGCCTGGCCAGGTAAGATAACAGAGGTTTCCTGGCACCAACATTGCCCAAGGCTGGGAGATGGGAAGTGTAGATAGATCGTCAGTTATTATGATGGAACGCATGGGGTCCAAATCATTGTTTATAGTTCATCCCATCAGATCCTGCTCAAGGAAGAGAGACACTGTAAGCTGATTGGCTGCCACCCACGCTACATTATTAATTATAACTTTTTACTCCAAGACCTGAACCCCATCTGCACTGGTCAAAAAGGGGCCTTTAATTCTAACACTAGTGACTTAATATTCTTCTTTCAAACATGAGAAATTAAAACATGATAAAAAAAAGATTAAACTGCGTACACTTATCTTCACAATAACTCTATTAACATACATGCCTCTGCTGGGTTTCTACCTCCACTGCTGGTCAGCAATTCCACAAATCTACGACTTTTTCACTATGAACAGTATTTCCTGTAATTCTTTATATCCATCCCTCCCTTCACAGTCACATGCTCTTCCTCTGCCTCCCTTCTCTGTAAGATATTTCTATTTGTGAATTCCTATCCTGCCCCAGTCTTACCGTGCTGTATTAATGTCTGAGGATCCTACTAGTCCAACAAGTTATCTATAAAGTATCATTGGCGGCTCCGTCTCCTGATACCGATCCTCTTTCTGTAATACCTCTAATCCGCCGGGTTTCCCTCCACGTTGCATTGAGAGGGATCTTGGTGAGATATGATGTTTGACTAGCGCTCCCGCAAATTAACTTCATATTCTTCTCCTCAATCATCGCTCTCTTATCTTGACACCGATGTAATGAATATTTAGTCCTGACTTCTTGTCACTGCTTCTTGTTGCAATTTTCCTAAATCTGCAATTCGAGAAGGAAGTGGGTCCTTTCACGGATAGAGTCTTAAAATAATCAGGAAATACTGTAAAACACACACACGCCCAAATTACATAATAAACAGATACACTTTAAAAGATATGGATTTTTAGAGCTGAGACCTTAAATTGATTACGTAAAATTGCAAGAACGAAATAAAAATGTAAAACACACTTGGAGACGTACGAATAAAGTGCAAAAAAAAAAGCTAGTCTAAAGCACACGTAATTCTGGCTTGTTTTGCATTTAGCGCAAGCAGTCAGTTACTAATATAACAGAGAGGTGTTAGTAGTTATTTTGTGACAGCGATAATTACCTGTAAACATAATTATTTCCATATCCTGGTTCTGGTCAGTTAGAGCACAAATAAAGAAAATAAGGGGCATAGCGCTCAATTTTGCAATTTCTTTTCCACACAAAATCCATTTTGCGGCTCATTAGTAGAAGCTCACTTTTTTTTCCAAGTGCAAAATTTACGCTGCAGAAGACTGTAAAAAATGTAACACTTTCACTGTAATAAATGGATGTTTGTGTAACTGTGCATTCGAGGAATCTCTTGACCTGCAATAGAAAATACATGCAGTGTCAGTGAGCCAAGATAATACGGAACACTGTGAGTGTAAGCTCCTGGGACAAGATCTTCATTATTAATTTAGATATGGAGGACTCTGGAGTGAGAGCGTCTAGATGATATGAAGTTATTTGGCTGCATGGAGCACGCTTTAACATAAATAAAGCGAGTGGATTTTCTATGTAAACCGTCTGTGCTTATTGAATCACTTTATCCAGTGTGCGACTGGAAGAAGATGTGAAATTAGATCACACGTCGCATGTAAAGCCGCAGTGCTGTCTGGTCTAGCAGTGTCCTTGTGGAGCGCAGTATACAGATTAAATAGCCCACACTTTACAGATAAGGAATGTTGAACATATGGAAAACATAATGAATAAGATTATAAAGTGAAGCATTTCTGTTCTTTACAATAATTGTCCCAGATTCAATTTAAAAAACGCTTCCATTTACAGGAGACGGGAGAGCAGGGATTTGGAGAAACGGTGCTCGAAACACCCACAGCATGTTATGGATTGGAGTGAGTAGTAGAGAGAGGCAGGGATATGCTGGGGCTGCCAATCCCAGGGCTGCCAATCCCGGGGCCATATACATATTACCAACACGGACTGAACCTAGGCAATCATTATTCAGTAATTCAGTCACTATGAAGCTATCAGTGTGTGGGGTGCCACTGTATAGACTGTGCGTGTGTGGGGTGTCAATGTATAGGCTGCCAGTATGTGGGGTGCTAATTAATTTGGTCTCAGTGTGCGTGATGCTAGTTAAAGAAATTTCAGTGTGTGTGGTGCTAGATAATGGACTGTTAGTGCGCGTGTTAGTTAATGGATTGTCAGTGTGTGGTGTTAGTTAATGGACTGTCAGTGTGCGTGGTGCTAGATAATGGACTGTTAGAGCGCGTAGTGTTAGTTAATGGACTGTCAGTGTGTGGTGCTAGTTAAAGGACTGTCAGTGCGCGTAGTGTTAGTTAATGGACTGTCAGAGTGCGTGGTGCTAGATAATGGACTGTTAGAGCGCGTAGTGTTAGTTAATGGACTGTCAGTGCGCGTAGTGTTAGTTAATGTACTGTCAGTGCGCGTAGTGTTAGTTAATGGACTGTCAGTGTGTGTGGTGCTAGTTAATGGACTGTCAGTGTGCGTGGTGCTAGATAATGGACTGTTAGAGTGTGTAGTGTTAGTTAATGGACTGTCAGTGCGCGTAGTGTTAGTTAATGTACTGTCAGTGCGCGTAGTGTTAGTTAATGGACTGTCAGTGTGTGTGGTGCTAGTTAATGCACTGTCAGTGTGCGGAGTGTTAGTTAATGGACTGTCAGTGAGCAAGGTACTAGTTAATGGACTGTCAGTGTGTGTGGTGCTATTTAATGGACTGTCAGTGTGCGTAGTGTTAGTTAATGGACTGTCAGTGCGCATAGTGTTAGTTAATGGACTGTCAGTGTGCGTGGTGCTAGTTAATGTACTGTCAGTGTGCAGAGTGTTAGTTAAGGGACTGTCAGTGCGTGTGGTGCTAGTTAATGGACTGTCAGTGTGCCTGGTGCTATTTAATAGACTGTCAGTGCGTGTGGTGCTAGTTAATGGACTGTCAGTGTGCGTAGTGTTAGTTAATGGATTGTCAGTACGCGTGGTGTCAGCACAGTTTGACAGATTGGGTCTTTTTGTGGAATTAAATTGTTTAGTATGATTAGTGACATTTTAATGTTTATTTGCTTGTATTTCACGAAGGCTTTGCCGCCGTATGGCGCAATCTTTGTGTAAACTACTTTCTAAGAACATTTTAAAGTAGACAATTAAAGCTGTTTAGGGATAATACAAATAATATTTTAGCTATACGTGCGTATATAAAACCCGCTGTGTGTGTGCAATACTATATTACATTTTAATAGTATATAAAAGGAAGCACTCAGTATAATTCATTGTTTTATAGGGTTTTAGAAAGTGCTCGTTTATAGGACTACTTTAATAATGCATTCCCACCGAGGACCTGGGTATAAACGGCGTTAGCTGGGAACCGTAAAACGCTTATTCGCATTTCTGTAAATATGAGCAGATACTAAACCTCAAAAAAATATTGAGAAATGCAGCATCTCGGCATCGGGACAGTGGCGCAGTATGAACAGGAAGTAAGAGAAGTAGCAGAGTTCACCTTCACCTCCTGCCACTTTCACCTCCTGCCAGTATCACCTGCTGCCATCATCACCTCCTACCACTTTCACCTCCTGCCACCATCACCTCCTGCCACCATCACCTCCTGCCACCTTCACTTCTTGCCACTTTCACTTCTTGCCACTTTCACCTTCTGCCACCATCACTTCCTGCCACAACCACCTCCTGCCAGTATCACCTGCTGCCATCACCACCTCCTGCCACCATCACCTCCTGCCACATTCGCTTCCTGCCAGTATCACCTGCTGCCATCATCACCTCCTGCCACAATCACCTCCTGCCACCTTCACTTCCTGACACTTTCACCTCCTGCCACCTTCGCTTCCTGCCAGTATCACCTGCTGCCACCATGACCTCCACCTCCTGCCACCATGACCTCCACCTCCACCTTCACCTCCTGCCACAACCACCTCCTGCCACAACCACCTCCTGCCACAATCACCTCCTGCACCTTCTATGCCTTGTAGTTTGACCTTCTATTCTCATCCTTGTCTCTGTTGTCCTACAGCACGTTCTCTTACAATGATTTACTTTAGTTATTTCCTCTCTCTAATTCAGCTCCTACCGCCTCTCTGGCTCCTTATTTACTCTCTGATGTCTCTCTCTTTTTCCCCATCTTGACACTCTGCTCCAGGTCACTGAGGGAGCGAAGGCCCATCTATGAGGACAAGCCTCATCCAATGGTAATTGATGTTATTTTTTCCCTGTTTTCTCCATGTCTCAGCGAGTTAAGTTCTCTTCCACTTCC